ACTCTTAACTTTTATAAAGAATATCTCTTTGGATTTGAGACTTTAGTCTTTGCAACTTTACAGATCTTCTTTATGCACCAAGAGCTTGTAACACTCTAAAGAGAAAGGAAAAAATGAAATCGCATCATATGACCCCTTTAAAGCACAATTGTTGAATATACAGTATATACACTACCATTCAAAAGTTGGGGTCAGTAAGATAAAAAAAAAAATCAATATATATATATTTTTTATTCAGCAAGGATGCATTAAATTGATCAAAAGTGACAGTAAAGGCATTTATAACGTTACAAATGATTTCTATCTAAAAAAAAAAAAAGCTGTTCTTTCGAACTTTATACTCATCAAAAAATCCTGAAAAATGTCAGTTTCCACAAAAATATGAAGCAGCACAGCTGTTTTCAACAGTGAATACTATGAAATGCTTCTTGAGCAGCACATTACCATTTTAGAATGATTTCTGAAGATCATGTGACACTGAAGACTGGAGTAATGATGCTGAAAATTCAGCTTTGATCACAGGAATAAATTACATTTTACAATATATTCAAATAGAAAACAGTTATTTTAAATTGTAATAATATTTCACAATATTACTGATTTTACTGTATTTTTGATCAAATAAATGGTGCCTTGGTGAGCAGAAGACTTATATTTGTTCTTTAAAATTATACTTTTTTTTTATTTAATTCATCAGAAGTAAACAAATTTAAATTACAAAAAAACATTGATAAGCACTAAATGGACACTACTTTCATATTTTGCTGTTTCACACAAAAGTTCATGGTTTAAAAAAAAAAAAAAACAATGTTAAATTATTCTGTCCAACATGCACCTTTTTTCATCGTAATCACAGGGTGCTCAGAAATTCTTTCACCTGGGGAAGACAAAAAAAATATTAAATCAACTTTTAAACTGAAACTGTCCTCATATTTCACTTTAATACATTACTGCACTGTGTAAAGCATCCATGTGCATGCAAAGAAAGGGTGTGTGTTCCACAGTGGGTATAGTATGTATGAAGCTACAACGTGTGTGTGTCTAGAGTATAAACCATGTATAATATGCAATTTCTAGAGTATATAATGGTCCCTGTATTGCACCCTCATCATAAGAAGCAACTTTAGTTCCGTCACATTTGACAAACATCGTTCAAATGTTCACTCAACACATGCTCTGGGTGATATGCTAGATTAACTTAACGAAAAAATGTAAATTCATCATTTACTCACCCTCATGTCATTCCAAGAATTAGCAAACATAATGAGGGCGAGTAAAAAACGACAGAATTCACTTTTTTTCTACTGTGTGTGTCATACCTTCTCGATCATATCAGCACACTTGATCTTGTCGTCTTTAAAATCGTCATTGACATCCAGGGTAAGAACCGGCACTTCATTCAGATACTCAAACTCCATACTGCACACACACAGGGTGTATAATTCATTTATTTTGAATAATTAATTTAAATCCTTTTTTTTTATCTTACTACATTTTACATCCTTATATATATATATATATATATATAAAATATCTAAATATAAAATGTATTTACT